ATTAACTCACCTTAGGCGATGGTACCACCGAAAACGTATTCATAATCCTATCAGGATACTCCTCACGTATTTTGGATATGAGTAGTGTGCCTAGGCCAGAGCCAGTACCGCCACCTAACGAGTGTGCTAATTGAAAGCCTTGCAGGCAATCACAGCCCTCGGCCTCCCTGCGCAGTACGTCTAGCACAGATTCGATGAGTTCGGCGCCTTCTGTGTAATGACCCTTGGCCCAGTTATTACCTGGAATGTAGGAAAAGGAAAATGTGAAATAAGTAAGTTTTAAGTGAAATTAATAAATAGTAATGTAACTGTTATGGAAAAACCTTAGAAAGCGTTAACGTCTTTAATAAAGTAACCGGTTCAGTTACAAAAATCGATTTACTTTTAAGTTTTTGCGACCAAAGCTAATACAGGCTTTAGGACATTTATTTCAGTAATATAAACTCAGCTGTGCAAAATACTGTGATTCAGTCCTCCAGATACACAAATATATAACCAAATTTTGAGGTTAACCGAAAATGAAGAAATTTGGAAAGCCATTTTTATTTCATGCGTTAACTGAAATGGAAGCTTGATATACTAGACAGACTTTTTAGACAGTGTACGTGCTCTGAGCCATGTATGGTGCAACCAACAGAATTTAGAAAGACTACCTTAAAATATTTCAATGTCTTAAAAGTTTATTATTAAAACTATTTATGCTACTGATTTGTGTTTAACTGCGAAGTTGCTTTTCGCTGGGAAAGTCTGCTCAAAACCTGTAAACCATATAAAACTGAGCTATTCCATTTTACCAGACGATATAATGTACCGGCTCTTACACCATCTGAGATTTTAACGTACTGCTAAGTACCTTGAAATAATTCTGGACAGTATCTCTAAAAAGACGATTGGTGTATCCTCGGGATTCTCATCTAGGATAGTGCACTGGATCCACATGGCAATTGTTCGGCCGATTTTGATCTGCGGCCTATACTCACAACTAAAATTAGGTACTGCTTAAGGTATTCAAAGTTACCATACTAACCTTACAGTACTTGTGTATCAGGTCCTCAGAGAGGTCAATTATGCCGAAGAGATAGGACACCGTTTGCCTTAAGGTGATGAATTTACGAAGAACTGTTATTGCATGTGACTCGTCCTGGAAGACCCATCGAGTGCCCTTACATTTTGGGCCCGTACGCAGAGGTCCATATTTTCATACAGTAGACGATAGATGTAAACCTATTTTTTTTGTTTAACTACGATCGATTTGATACGGAAATTATTTCTACAAATGTTCTGTAAAACAATGAACTGTAAGCCTTCTAATGGCTTTACATCAAACATTCGACCCAAATGATGTGTGCTATCTACTAACTCACAAACACACTTTATCTTTAATGAATATTGGGGTGATAACTACGGTGACCATTCGTACCAATTTTAGCGGGATGGTACCGATTTTGAGAAAGATGTCCCGCTGAATATTTTTTAAAAGTCGGGACGTATAAGTGTCCCTATTTTTCATATTTGTACCAATTAAGTGCCGATTTTCAGAGTTTTCTTTATGAATTTAATAAGAGTTTCTCTGTACTCAGGCAAAAAATAATTCGTACATACGTGGCAGCACTTTCGTTTACATAAAGGACACCGAATATAAGGTAGCCATAAACATAGCCAGCATCCTTATTTTTTACGATCTTTGGTTATGTTTTATTCAGTCCAGCTGGTACTCTCGCTATATTGCAGTCTATCAATGTTCTTTAAATTTTTTTTTAACGATTTTTTAACCGACTTCAAAAAAATGAAATTATCAATTCATCGGAATATACATTTTTTTATTTATGTTACCGCGTAATTTTGGACTACGTAAACTGATTCCTATTAGGAAAGGTAGAACCTCATTGGTGGTTTTGTTTTTTGCTTAAAAATATATTGTATAATTATTTGTTTAGTTTTTTTTTTTGTTTTTTAATGTAACGATTCTTACTTGAATTTAGTGCAATTATAAAATATAATACTACTTCTCTCAAAAAAATATATGGGAGGACAGAGACCCAAAACAATTATTATCATAATATGTGAGATCAAAAGCGTCTCATTGTTTTAAGATAAGTTTTTTTCGTCTTTGTGCATCTCATAATTATTTACGAGAAATATCTTTTTTCGTCTCGTGAGACGATTTTTTTCAAATGGAAATAATTTATGTCTTTTCATAATAATTATATGGGACTTTTATCTTTCGTCGTCTGGCCATTTATTTCAAGACGACAATGATTTACGTCCCACGTTTTCTCCTAACAGAATCGGTACATGTGCTGCCATTTTCACGAAATTAAACGCAAATATCTCCGAGCTCGATTATTGGAATTTAATTTGCTAACATCTGACAACCCTTTCCAAAAAACTAAAACCACGAAAAAGAAAAGTCCTTTAATTTGACACCACATTTTTGAACATCGAGCGAACGATACAGATTTGATGACATGAACAATCATGGCGATAAATATCTAACGCATCAAATCTCCGAACTCAAATAAGAAGTTTCATTTGAAAAAGTTCCATATGATTATTGAAAGGATACGTAAATTATTTCCGTCTTGAAACAAACGTCCGGAGAGACAAAACAAAAATAAAAATCCCACATAATTATTATGAGAAGACGAATATAATTTACAAAACAACTCTTCTAGTGTTCAGTAATAATTATAGAGCAATATTTAATTTTATTTCTTGTAATCATTATGGTCTCTGTGGAAGAATATGCGAGAACAAAAAATTGGCATAAATCAACGGTAAGTTCAAGGTACTTCAAGCTTGCACTTTGTTACACTAAAATTTAAGGGGCTATTAAACCGCGTATTCAAAAAAATTCTAGAAAATCTGTTTAAAATATTTAAAATTTTGATCAACATTTTTAAAAATTCAAAAGTTTGAAATTTGACCTACATGTTTTTTTAGGTAGTCGGTTTTATTTTCATAAAAAAATTAAAAAACATTTTTTAAACAAATAAAAGTAGCCAAAACTTGCTAAAATGTCTTTTCCCTATTTACATTCTCGCCACCGTATACATATATGTATTGTGTACATTTTTGCGATCATTTTTAAAATTCGTCTCTTTGTCTTGTTTTAAATAAAACTTTATTCAAATATGTTATGTCTTTTTATTCTAAACACAATATTGTAGTATCGGATTCGATGCTTTAGAATTGTACCGATTTTTTGCCACAGAAATCTGGTCACCGTAGTGACAACTAATTAATGAATTTTAAATACTGCCACTTATGTATGTATGTATGTATGTATGTATGTATATTAGATCTCACTCACCCGCTCCGGATTGTCCAAATACGAAACTGTCTGGCTTGAATAGCATACCCATTGGCGATTGGCGTATAGCATCCATTGTGCCTGGCTCCAAATCGATGAGTACAGCGCGTGGTACATACTTACCACTGCTGGCCTCATTGTAGTACACATCGATGCGTTCCAATTGCAAATCATTTTCACCAACGTACATGCCATTCGGGTCGATGCCGTGCTCATCGGAGATTATCTCCCAGAACTGAAAGAAATTTGCACCCCAAAAAAAAGGTTAATTATTAGATATGGAAAATTTTGTAAACATTTGCATTTGCACTTAAATATTAATAAGAAATAATTGCTAAATAAAAAGTTCTTGGAAACAAATTAACTCTTTATCGTTGGTGGCGTTCAATATGAATTTTAAACGTGTTTGCAAAGACTTTTTTAATAATAGAATAAACTTGCAAACAATGTGACGCGAATGTGAATATTCAAAAGTTGATTGTTAATTTACAGCTCACTTAACAACAGATGTATAGAGCATTGTTGCATACTTCAGGGCGTACGAAAAAATTTAACACACTCACGATTAAATAGCTGATTTGCACACTAAAGTCGTAAAAAATTTTAAGCACTCAAATTCGATGCACGAAAAATGCAATTATTGTGCATTCCAAGCGAAAATCATCGAGATCATAAATTTCCATATGTAGTTATGTATGTATGTGTCCTATTTACATGTGTATGAATGCACATATGTATGTTGATAAACACATACATATGTAGTTATGTATGAATGTTTGTCAGCGGACGTGCCNATGAATGCACATATGTATGTTGATAAACACATACATATGTAGTTATGTATGAATGTTTGTCAGCGGACGTGCCCGAATAACTAAATATGCGCGTAATTCGATCGGTGGCAAAATTGTGTTACAGTAAAAACAAAATAAAAAATAAAAACTTAAAACGTTTGGAATAATTATTTTGCGCTGCAGAAATTCATATCCTTGCAAAAATTAAAAAAAAAAAAACACATTTCACCTCCTCAGGCATTCATTACAATTTCAAAGTAACAAGCGCTGCAACAAAAGACAGAAAAAAAAACAAACTGAAAACGAAACAAATGCATTGCAAACTAGAATGTACTAGCACAGAAAAAGAAATATTTTCACACAGATCAATGAATTTTAAAACAATTTTCATTTCGCTGTCACAAGCGACAACCGCCGCTCGGTAGGACGGGTTGGGTTTTCAAGCAATTTTGCTGGCAGCATTTACATTCCATTAGCTGCTCGAGCACCCCTCTGCCTCTGCCGTTTCACATATGCTGCTCTCAGGTTATTTGTATACGCTTGGCAACGCTACTACATATGCACGTGTACATACATATATGTATTTTATTTTTCCTCCGTTTTCACCAGCTGAAATCGCTAAAAATCGGACCTTCATTGGTAATTTTCAGGGACCGAAAATAATGATTATTTCAAAATTTTCAATGAAAAAAATCTCTACATTCCACCGGCAAAAAGCACACCATGTGGGTGATGAGTAGGTATGTACGTATGTAAGTGTTGGTGTAACGGTAAGCATTTAATCGCAATAGTTCCTGACATTTGAAATCAATTTTACGTTTCTTGTTTCAATTAGTTTTTTTCGTTTTTTTTATGATTCTTTTTAACTTTTAGTTATGAAATTCCAAAATTCCTATTTCGTTGTTGTCTTTTTTGTGCATATCATTCGTCCGCAACAATTCGGCCGTGCTTCGGCGCTTTTCGCTAGAATGCTAGCTACATACATATCTTTCAAACGACAGCATTCGATTGCAATTGGAATTGTAAGTATTTGTGAGTAAGGCATATACATACATATGGGTCATTCCATACAATATTTACACCTCAATTTTTGGGGTGAAATATATTTTTTTACATTATTTATCGAAAAAGAAACCTTATTTTTCGAAAATCTTGAAAAAATTCCCGAAATTTTGAACTTACGGAGGAGTATGTTTTTTATTCGTGTACAGTTAATAAACTATTTGTAGAAGAAAACCCATTTAAAGTATCAAAATGTGCGTAATTACATCGGCTTTCCATGAGAGTATGACATAGATTAAAATAAAAAAATTTGGATTAAAAAATCGCATTTTAATTTTTTATTTATTTTTTATTAACTTGCTGAGTACAGCTTACTCCATAAAGTTTGAGAACTATTCAGGTTGAAAAAAATAAGAATCAAACACGATAAAGTTAATAAAAAAAAAAAAATAAAAAATGCGATTTTTTAATGGAAACTTTTTTTTCGTTTTAATTTATCTCATGGAAAGCCAAGGTAATTACGCACAATTTGATACCTTAACTGATATTCTCCGACAAATAGTTTATTAACTGCAAACAATTGAAAAAAGATACTTCCCCGTGAGTTCAAAATTTCGGGAATATTTTTTCGAGATTTTCGAATATCATGACGAAATAAAAAAATAGGTGTCTTGTTTTTTTCGACAAAGAATTCAAAAATATATATTTTACCCAAAAAAAAAAATTTGAGGTGTAAATATTGTGTGAAATGACCCATATGAACGAATAAATTTATATATATTAGGCCGGGTAAATTTTTTTTCTATGCGCGTATTGCATGGGAGGATTCTACGTGTAATTGCACAGGTGTTCCAAGCGGAAATAGTCGCAATTTTAAACTGCGCAAAATTAAACCTTGAAGAGGGTTTGAAGGGCGCTTTTCTAATTATCTTTCCAAATAGCCAATCAGCCATCCGGGCTTGTTCAAATAGGAATTTAACCCGGCTAGAGACTGCTTTCACATGCTGCAAATTTTAGAAGCCAAAAATACGGTAACACTGTCGACAGGCCAGGCTCTTCGGCTACCCTTTCAACAGAAAGGATATTTGAGAAAATAGAAATGACAGCCTGCTACTTTCTGGGTACCTGGCTGGGCACAATGACGGAATGCTGAGTCTGCCGTGCAGATTATGAAACCTGAGAACTTACCGTCACTAGAGACGAATAAAGAGGTCATTAAGCAACTTCTGTACCCGTCAGCATATCGACAGGCCCTGAATGGCACTCACATCTGAATCTGTGAATGCCGTTCTAGGCATACAGCCACCGGACATCGACGCAAGACGGAGCTTCATCTGCCTCGGGAGACCAGAACTACAATAGCCCAACTTCGCTTTGGCTACTGCATCAGCTCATACTTAAGCAGATTAGACGCAGATGTGCCAAATGCGTGTCCGGCATGCGCATTCACACCCCACGACTCGAAACATCTCTTCGTATGCCGGAAAACCCCCCTAACGTCTTTGCCACCGTGCACCGACCCCATTCAGGCTGCACGCTTCCTGGGGCTTCCGTTAGTGGAGCTTGACGACAACGACTGAGATATTAACCGATCTGGGTGGGGTTGTTGTAGCCGCTACAACAACAACAACAACATGGAATGCAGTACACAAATAAGCCTGTATTTGTCATCTGTGCATATAAGGTTTTGTATATAGCTTCTAAAAAAAGCTTGCAGCTGCGAAGTTGTATAGATGGATCATTCTCAGTAAAAAGATTGCGGATTTCTTCGCGTATACTTCCGGACAAAGTGTTGCAAGTAGTATAAGTTTCCGTCTTGATTCGTAAGATGGGATACCATTAAGGGTGACATTGCTGACGCTAATAGGGACCGCATTTAAAGCACCAGTAGGGGTGTTGGAGGCGCCAATAGGGACCCCACTTCAGTAACCAGTGGGGGTGCCGTTGGTGACGCCAGTAAGGACGCCGGTCGAGGCACAGGTAGGGGTACTTCCATTACATGGACCATAAGCTCAATTAATACGATTTAACGCAAATCGCGTGAATTTTTTCTGGATGAGTAGAAATCGTAAAAAGGATTCCAGATAATGACTCCATATTCAAGAATGCTCCTGATCATAGCTAAATTAAGAGAGTTCAAAGTAAAAGGATCTGTGAAGTCACATTGTTCTATCCCTGTTTTCGATTTATATTCGCAAATATGGAACTGGCCATTTGAGCTACATACATATGAATATCGTCAGCCATGCGTGACTTCTGGGGCAGAAAGTAAGGGATAAAGCCACCAGACTTCTAATTATTTATCTCTCAGTAGCGGAATTTGGTTCGCCTGTATCGCACAAGATGGTACTGGTTTCCATGAAGTAGCCTCTGTAGACATTGGTCCCTTAAGAAATGCCAGCAACCACCCATGTTGCGGTTGTTGGCAGCTAACTGTTCTCCGGCTCATGCCCATTTTAAGCAGGTGGTCCGGTTCCAACTCTTAACAAGAGAAAATAGGCAATGACTACTTCGCTCTCCCACTTGGCTTTTCATTCGTGCGGATAACACCTGAAGATAATACCTAAGTGCATACATCAGTTCAGTGGGTTGCAACTTTTAAGTAGCGGTGGTGTCAGCTTCTGAGCTCAAATAGCTCTAAATTTTTTTGTTTCTTCGCTTTATTTTTGCGAAAGTCTGAAATGTTATTTTTTCACTTAAAACTAAAAAAACAAAAATGATTTTATAATTCGCTATAAGTATTTCACAATATCAAAATTCCACCGCTTTGAGTTAGAGCAGCAACCAATTTCACCATTTAATCTACATCACTTAGCAATTATCTCGAATTCGGTTATAGTGAAATATCCATTATTTATTGCTCCAGCAGATACGAGCACGTGTCTTCCGTTGTTTTGTTTTAACTCCGCCAGCGCAAGAATATAAATTTTAAGATTTTCTCCGAATATTTTAATAAATATTTTCGGCATGATTACCGGTGCAAGGTGTGTGTGTACCAAGAATTTTAGTCCTGCTTATGTTTTTAACCAATTTCGTGATATTTTTCTTTCATAAAATTGCTGTTGATTTTAAGGCAGTATTGTTTTTGTTTTCTGCACTTGTTTGCTTCTATTTCGTTTTAGTGAAATCATGTTAATTGTGAGAAAAACGCAAGCTGTCTGCTCCGCTATGGTTGATTTATTTATTTTTTCAATGGATTGGCTATACACCCGAAGCAAAGCGAAACGATATGGTTCAAGAGATTCGCTCACCTTTTGTTGATGGTTAGAAAATGCCTTGCAGTGCTTAAAAGCCATGCTAAAATTTAAGTGTTCGTAAAATCTGTAGATGTATATACATTATGATTTTTTAAGCGATATGTGCATAGAAGCGCCAAACATGTGAATAGATTGAAGGATTTAAAAGCTAGTAACTATAAAAACAAGCATGAAAATGAATATTTAAAAG